GGTCCCACCAAGACTACAATACTTGGTGGTCGATATTGATTCATCACGTTCGTTGATGACTATTCTAGGTGTTGTTGGGTGTACACTATGGCAAAGAAGAGTGAAGTCCTAGATATATTTATGGAGTGGAAGAAGAGGTTGGAACTGCAGACTGGGAGAAAGATCAAGGTGTTATAATTCGACAATGGTGATGATTACACATCAGACCCCTTTCAGGATCTATGTCGAGACGAGGGCATAGAGAGATACTTTATAGTTAGTCATACATCACAGCAGAATGGGGTGGCAGAAAGGTTAAATCGGTCTTTGCTAGAGAAGATCTGATATTTGTTGGCGCATAGTGATTTGAAGAAGATCTTTTGGGTAGGGGCACTTTCATGAGTAAGCCACCTCATTAACAGGCTGCATTCATCTGCGATTGAGGGGAAGACCCCTATGGAGATGTGGTCGGGAGAGTCAGCACACGACTATGACCAGCTTAAGGTATTTGGATGCCCTGCATACTATCATGTTAATACTGATAAGTTGGAACCTCGAGCTAGGAAGACCATATTTATAGGATTCAAGCGTGGTGTCAAGGGATACAAATTATGGAATCCAGTTGATAGGAAGATTATGCTGAGTAGAGATGTCACGTTTAATGAGGCTTCTATCTTGAAGCTTCCCAATTCTCATCAGGTAGAGAGCGACCCGACGAAGGAGATATTGCAGGTGGTGAAGATTGATGCAGCTCTACATTGTCCAGATGGTACAATATCCATTAGAGTACGGACTGAGATGACGCCAGGTGAGCATGGCGACGAGGAGGAGGATACAGATACAAATGTATAGAATCAGGGACCGACGGCTCAGTTTTAGGATTCTATTTTGATTCGGAGACAGAGAAGAGACATACGGATGCCAGTATGGTATACCGATACAGTAGTTGCATATACACTTCTGATGGAGAGTATCGATGAGCAGAGTTCGGAAGCTGATTCGTGGCAGGTAGCTATGCAGGAGGAGATGAAGTCTCTACACAAGAACGATACATGGGAGCTTGTAGAGCTTTCAAAGTGGTAGAAGACAATTGGTTGTAAGTGGGTATACACGAAGAAGGAGGGCATTGAAGGCACTCCAGTGAGGTTCAAGGCTAGGTTGGTTATGAAGGGCTATGCACATGAGGAAGGTATTGATTATAATGAGGTTTTCTCTCCAGTGGTAAATTACTATTCGATTCGGATTTTGCAAGTTTTGGTGACACGGTATGGATTGTAGTTAGATCAGTTGGATGTGAAGACGATATTTCTTCATGGTGATCTTGATGAAAAAATATATATGACTCGCTATTGAGATTTTAAGCTGCACGGAAGAAAAAGTTGGTTTGTAGGTTGAAGAAATCGCTATACAGTTTGAAGCAGTCTTCTCGACAGTGGTATAGGCGATTCGATAGATTTATGATCGGTCATTCGTACAGTCGAAGCCAGTTTGATCCTTACGTGTATTTTTGCATGTTAAAAGGAGGTGTGTATATTTATTTGTTGGTTTATGTCGATGACATGTTGGTTGCCTCTCTTTCTAGGTCTGCTATAGATAAGTTGAAGGCACAACTTTCAAAGGAGCTTGAGATAAAAGATTTAGGGTGAGACAAAGCGCATTTTAGGGATGGAAATCAGCAAAAACAAAGAGAATGGCAGAATTTGTTTAACATATGTGGCTTATTTGAAGAAGGTTCTACAGCGGTTTAATGTTAGCATGGATACGAAGCCAGTCAGTGTACCTTTGGGAGCCTATTTGAAGCTTTTAGCTGACCTTTCACCGAAGATAGTTGAAGATAGAGAGTTGATATCAAAGACTCCATATGTGAGCGTGGTTGGGAGCTTGATGTACGCGATGGTATGTACGAGGCTGAATTTATCACAAGCAGTGAGTATGGTTTCGGGATACATGCACGATGTAGGAGTGAGTCATTGGGATGCCGTGAGATGGATTTTGAGGTACATTCGTGGTACCCTAAATTTTGATTTAGTTTTTAAGCGGGACACTAGAGGTGGGCAGTTGTGCATTGGCTATGTTGATTCAGATTATGCCGGGGATTTGGGTAAGCGCTGAACTACGACGGAGGCTTTGTCGATGACGGTGTGTTGGAGATGTACCGGTGTATTGGAGATACACCTTACAGTCTACGGTGGCTTTATCGACGATGGAGGCAGAATATATGGCAATTACAGAGACTGAGAAGAATACTATTTGGCTTCGAGGACTTTTGGATGAATTTGGTATTTCACAGCGGTCCGTCACCATTCATTGTGATAGCATGAGTGCTATCTATTTAGCGAAGAATTAGGTTTTTCATGTGAGAACAAAGCACATTGACGTTCGTTATCACTTTGTTCGGGATGTTCTTGAAGATGGCGATGTGGAAATTGTGAAGTCCACACGAAGGATAATCCGACGGATATGCTCACAAAGATGGTTCCGAGACACAAGTTTGATCATTGTCGAAACTTGTTGTACATTCGTGATTATTGAGGCCATTGACGGCCATTTGGATGAACTACGGACGGCTTGATCCTTTGGGAGAGGGGGTACGTAGGTAGTCATTTTGATAAGATCGGTTTTAGTTCTCGACTTGTTGTGGATTGAGTTTGTTATCGTGGATTTATTCCATTTCGTACTGGGCGCAACAAGTGGGACGTTTGTTTGGTATTAGTGTCAGTTTAGTTTTTGAAAAATTTCACCTAGGTGGAGAATTGTAGAAATGGTAAAAATATTGGTAAAGTACAGAAAATTTAAAGTGAAAAAAAGACATTTGGGTGCTTGCTGGTCGACCGTGACCGCAGTCGACCGCCAAACGTGCACGACTACATGGTAGTTTCTAGAGTTCTGGTCGGTCGATCGCGAGGTTAGGTCCGGTCGACCGTCAAATCCTGTAATGATTTTTTGGATTCTGTCGTTCTGTCCGGTCGACCGCGAGCTTTGGCGTGGTCGACCGCCAGTCGGGTTTGGGCCTGGGCATAGGCCTTATTTCCTTTTCTAATTTGACTTGTGTTTTGATATATATTAAAACATGATTTTAGGGTTTTGTTAATCAGAGATTTGAGATTGTACTGAACATATTGAGTGGGAGAACTTGTGAGCAAGTTGAGAGATTTGGTATAGGAATTATTTGAGTGATTTTGTGAGATTGTAACCCTTTGTACTCTCCTTGATTTAGTGGAATGTCCACATCCTCTTCTCGTGGACATAGGCAAATTATCGAACCACGTATATCTCTGTGTTAATTTGATTTGATTTGTCGTATTTTAGATTGGATTGTGCTCGTGTTTGGTTTGGTTATCTTCTTTTTTTTGGTTTGGTTATCTTCTCCTGTGACTCGCAGACTCGTTTGATTGTCGAGCACGCTGCCGCAAAGACGCACAACAGTATATCCTCACAATTTCTTTTATATACTAGTCAAGATATAGATATCTTTTGAGCTGTGTTGTCTTTAACTCTATGATACCTATGTATTAGGCGCTAGGTAAAACTATGGCTATCTAATTAAGACAATTCAAGCTTTCAAAACTACTACTTATCTGAGACAAATTCCTGAGCGCATCAAATTTTTTTTTAGTCTTACAAGATGATGATGGCCAGAGTGCAAAGTCCATCATAATTAATTAAGTAAATGAAATCTACCTAGAAGAAACAAACAAGCAAAAGATATGAATATACTATTTGAAAAGGAAAGAACATCTTCTTGAGCTTTATTTTACCTATTCATCACAGGCATGAGTTGGACATGAAGGACACTCCAGTCTTCAATGAGAAGTAGATCGAAGTTGAATTAATCCCTTATTTGTATACGAAACTGAAATTTTTTCAAGTTAAATGTATTTCAAACAGAGATAATTATATTAATCTAAATGATCTTAAGGTTTTAGCTATATATATGGGTCCCAACTTTTTTATATCAGCCTATTATCTTTCTAATTCTTTCATTATGAGACTAACGCATGCACATGAATTTCCCAGCATCTGACTCAGCGAACTTGATAAGTAGCCACAGAAACTTTCATATATGTATGTTTATGACTTTCCGAGCATTATGCTTAAACTAAAACTATACTTACAATCAACTGTTTAAGGAGATAAAATTCAACATGCTAACTATCATCCTCAATGCCTCCTTCTCGGCAGAAAATAAAGAATGGATTTGTTCATTGTAATTTTTTGAGGATATGAGTAGCTTGTAGTTGTTATGTAATATCAGTCTAACTGAGAAGCTTGATGTGCTGAACTTTCAATACTTGGAAGATGAATAAAATTTTCATTGNAACTATGCTTATGATATCCTATTGACTTAACTAAGATATGCTTAACACTTTTCAGTTCTTAGCAGTTAAGGGTCAAAATGTTCAAAACATAAACGACGTTGCTATGTGCACGTTACATAGGGTTTAATTACAGATAGATCTCCTGTATTATTTATGAGTTTGCAGACATTTAGACGTACTCCTTAAAACTTTTTGTTAACGCTCTCGCCTCCTAAACCCTAGACTGAGATGTCAAGCGGAAGTCACATTAAGGTAAATTATTTCTTTTGTCTTCAGATTCTGAAAGCATTGAAAGCTAAATCCAGTCTATATTAAAGAATGCGGGAAAAAATAATAATTTACAGTCACATAATTTCTATATGACATCTCAACATCATGACCTAGAATCAATAGCGGCATATGAGACTCATGAAATATAAATTAATACTTGAAATTGTCTAGGGATATACAAGGTACATCCCTGTTGCACAAGAAATCTACATTAACCCTGACATATAACATAATACAATATTTATCACAAAATATATAACACAGTATTTATCACCGTATAAACACATGCCATAAATACATAGACAGAAGTAAAGACTACCCTAATCTGTCCTTCACAACGTCCGCCCTTAATTATTTCTCCCCTCCCCCCTACATTCTCCTCCTCCAAACTCTCCCACCTCTTCACCAAGAAACAAAAACCCACATAAGAAAATGTCGAGCCCCATCAAGTCCAGCGGCCGCCTCCCCCGCTGGTCTCGGCAGGAGATCCTGGCACTGGTAGAAGCCAAGCAGGCCTACGAGGGTCAGCGGAGGTGGGGCCCGGTACGGCCCACGGAGCCCAAATGGGCGTTCATATCGTCGCACTGCAGGAACCACGGCGGGGTGGAGCGGGGCCCGCTGCAATGCAGGAAGAGGTGGAGCAACCTCGCGTGCGACTTCAAGAAGATAAGGGGTAAAGAGGAGGGGTATTGGAGGATGAGGAGCGGGGAGAGGAGAGAGAGGAGGTTGCCGGGGTTTTTCGATAGGGAGGTGTTTGAGAGGATGAGGGAGGTGAAGGGGGAGGTGAAGGAGGAGGAGGAGGAAATGAG